AAAATAAAACAAAATCATGGATTTTTATTAGATACCTACCTAACATAAAATATGATTAATTATTACTTTTATTAGTGCTGATATAGAAGCTAGAGGGTGGGGTGGAGGATAAAGGGTAAGATCGAGTAAGAGTATATTCATTGGTGTTATATCTATACTCAACCCCACGTGATGATAAAAAAGCAATATTTTATTTTAACAAACGCGTACGGCTCATTAATCGTTTGAAATTTAATAGTAACGTATAATATTTACGTCCACGTCATATTTTATGAATTTTGCAGCAGCGTCTGAAGTCTAACACATTAACAATAATATACGAATATAATGTTAATTTATTATTGTACATGGAATTATAGTGCAATAATATAATATCGACTGAATATAAACAACATAATATGATGCATTGCACTTGAAACAATATTATGCAATGTGCACCGCTAAATATAATTATACCTTTATATGCACAGGCACCTTATATTATTATAATATTATACTTCACACAGAACGTTTTTGTGAGGTTGGACCAATTCAAATTAGTTGTTGGATAGTTTWTTGTAAACACACATAAAACGTATAATATGTATAATAATGTTTCAATTGGATGAGTCGAATGAGCTTAATACTAAATATTATGAAAAATTATATTTTATATCAAATTTTAAAATTTAAATTATAAAAGTTGTCTAAACCATGGTATAATAATATTTTTAGTAAAACATGAATATGTTTTCATTGGGTATATATTATAAATTACTATAATGCTAGTGACTTAACATAAACAATAACAAGCAGTGTACTTTATAATGAAAATAATTAATAATGTCTTGTACTCTAGTTATAAAATACAACACATAGATGCCTAGTCAACATTTAATTTAATTTAAACGCAGATTAAAACGTATAATAAAGAAATTTTAGATTTATGTATAATTTTATAATAACAAATCGTTAGTGTTCAARAATTATATAAGTATAMATTTTTAGATCATATCACGAAAAAAAAGTGAAGTTGGTGTATATAGATAGTAATTAGTATGAAATTGATTAAAACTTGTATGTAAAATTGAATACTATGAATATTGTGTAGAAAAATACAAAACATTACATTTAGTATAKCACAATAGTAGCAAGCATATTTAAACTAGGTTTACCGTTCGATCATATTYAGCAGTAATTTTGAATTACAGTATGACWAACGTTAGAACACATAAACACAGTTATAGAAATCAGTTTTTTTATGGTTTGAAGTGTACGAACTTTTTACGTTCGGATCTTGTGCGATATCGTATGTTGAAAACTACTTGGCACCATAATGGTACCAGCGGGACCTAATCATTTAGTTAGAGCCTAATACAAATTAAATTTGGAAAAGTCCTACGATCCTTTTTTGTCCATCGCCGTCCACTTGGTCAAACCCAACCCTGTAAACAAGCGTAAGACCTGGACCGACGCGAAAACGTTATTTATTATTCACGATTTTCTGTCATACGCAATGACATCACAATGTCACATATTTTGTTTATTTATATGGCCTTGGTTTTTATTTTTCAGGTCTAGCCGACCGAATYAATCGCATATGAATACGGGTCGACGCTAACTCGACTTTTGCGACTCCACCCGCACACCCACACGCCGGACGTCGTTTTTCCGACCTGCACTCCTCGGAGGACATCGCGTGAAGTCGAACGCCGTCGTCACTGCTGCCGACGCGCCAACACTATTCCGAGACTAGACATCGTCGTCACCTGCACACTCGCCACCGGCACATCTTCTCCCAACGGCGTTGGATTAACCAGACCCGTGGTATATACCGCGATGACGACGACGGCTGTCACTAACATAACGACCATCTGGTCGTAGAAGTACCGAGCAGAAGTGGTGCACAGTGGACCGGAAGCAGCCGGAACAGTCAAATAAGGCATAGGTGGGGGYGGCACGGACTTTCCGATGTACGAGGAAAACTATACAGCCGTGGTGCCCACGTACTTGACGAACCTGGTCGAATTCAACGAAACGGCGAACGATGGCAACCAGACCGACGGTGGAGGCTATCTGAACGTGACCACCGAGATGCCTGTACGGTACGCCCGGCCCATGTACGGGTTCGTCATGCCATTCCTGTTGCTGGTCACCATTGTGGCAAATACGCTGATCGTTGTGGTGCTGTCCAAACGGCACATGCGCACGCCCACCAACGTGGTGCTCATGTCCATGGCCTTGTCCGACATGTTCACGCTACTGTTCCCTGCCCCGTGGCTGTTCTACATGTAYACGCTGGGCAACCACTACAAACCACTGTCACCTGTCGAGTCGTGTTACGCGTGGTACGCCATGAATGAGGTCATACCAACGCTGTTCCACACCGCGTCCATTTGGCTCACGCTCGCCCTGGCCGTCCAAAGGTAAGTGCGACGCCACATAT